CCCTACCTGGCTCAGACCTGGGCTGCGTCACACTCCCTCCACTAACACCCCCCTGACTGCTCTCTGCCCTCCAGATCCTGGGAGGAAACTTCTTCTAAGGAAAGCAGCACAGGAGCAGGCAGTGCTGGGCTGTCACCCTTCCAGGGGGGTGACTGTCACCTCTGGGAAGCCCAGCCTGGGCAGGACTGCTAGCACTGTGGGCGAGACACTCAGATGGGAAAAGCCAGACACAGAAAAAGCTTCTTGTGGGCAGAGGCAGGGATTGGGCAGCACCCAGGAGGGTCGGGGCAGGAGGGCAGGGAGCCCCAGGGTAGGTGGGTCCTGGCTGTTCTCGTCCTGTGGCTCCACAGTCCGTGCTTCATGTTCTGCTGAGCCTCTGCTCCAAGCTCCGGGCAGCCACCCCAAGGATAGAGAACAGCAAGGCACCAGGATTGCAACACCAGAACAAGCTGCCAGTTGTAACTGAGGACTGGATCGAAGCCCTGGACTGATACAATATACAGTTAATTACAAAATAAATCCCCTCCCACCCTTTGTAATAAAAAGAGCAGCTGATTGGACATGCATCATTCTGGCCCTACAAAATAAGGCACCAGAGCTTAAAAATAAAACTCCAATTGTCTTTGATATAAAAGGAATTCCCACGTGTTGAAGGCAGTTGATGTCGGAGTGCATAACAGGGAGCGATCTCTAGCTTTGGGTTCAGCCTCACGCCTGGGCGCCGGTGGCTTTCTGGATCAGGGGAATCTGTAGGAGGGGAAGAGAGAAGCTGTCAGGAGGAGGCACGGAGCTGCCTGCACTCTGCGGCTGGGCAGGGCTGGGGAAGGAGAGGCTCTCTGGGAGTCTGAAAGTTTTGGAGCAAGTCCCTGTGCCCTAAGAGCTGCAGGAATTTCCAGTTGCTGGTGCCCAGCTCACCTTGGTGAGATCCACGCCAGTGATGGCACGCACGGAGGCAGGGATCTCAGCCAGCAGACGGTTCACCTCAGACGTTGTGCTGCTGCTCTCTCCGCTGAGAATAACAATCTCATCCACTTTGGAGAGGGGAGCAGACACTTTGGCAGCGATCTGGGGAAGCAGGGAAGAAAGGGGGGATGAGCAGAGAGTCAAGGAGCTGCTCGTCAGCCTGCTGGGCAAGGTCCCTACACCCCAGGAGACCTGGCCCAACCTGGGCATGCCCCACCACTCGCCTGGAGCAGGAGAAAGCTGCTCCCTCCTCACCTCAGGCAACGCATCCAGCACTAGAGCGAGCTGGGCAGCCTCTCCGTACTTCTGGAGCGCTTCAGCTTTCAGCTTCATCCTCTCAGCCTCTGCCATCCCGATGGCCTCAATCACAAAAGCTTCAGCTTCTCCGATCTTGCGGATCTTTTCTGCCTCCGCCTGAGCCATGAGGACTTGCTTCACCCTGGAAAAGGAAGCCCAGCCCTCCAGCAGCCCAGATCCCCACAGCGTATCCAGCGCTGCTTCCCTCCCTCCATCAGCCCCGTGCCTGCCCCATGGAGACCCACGAGCTGAGTCTCGGGACTGGACCAGGTCACGGGCTCACTCACTTCTCGCCCTCGGCGATCTGCTGGATACGGTACGCTTCGGCCTCGGCCGGCCGCTTCACAGTGGCTATCAGCTCCTTCTCCATCCGGATGATCTCTTTCTCTTCGACGTCGATCTGCTTCTTGCGTTGCACCACCTCGATTTCAATTTCCTCCTGGCGAATCTTTTGCTGCTCCCGGGCACTCTGGAGCTCGTAGGCCAGCTGGGCTTCTGCAGTCTGCACACAGGAGAGATGAGAAGAGGGGTCTTGGCCATGATCTCCTGGGTGCAGACATAAGGACCCTTGGCAGGCCGGAAACTAGACACAGCTCCTGCTCCCAAACCTCTATCCAGGAGTGACAACTCAATCCCTAGGGTGGCACTTGCTGTCCTTTTCTGTGCGCTTTTCCCACAGCACTCGAGCCCAACCAGCTCAGAGTTCAGCTTGGATGACCCTTCCTACCCTTTCCTCTCCTTCTAGTCCCACCTAAGCGCTGCAAACAAGAGAGGGATCTGCTGCAAAGGAGCTCACACTGTGACACAGAAACTTGGTTCTCCACCTCCAGCTCTCCTAACACAGGCAGGAGGAAGCTGGCAAGTCCCAGAGCTACCAACACCAGCATGAACCAGCCAGGGAACAGCAGTGGGCTGTTGGACACCTCTTACCTTCACGTTGACCTCTTCAGTGAAGGCAGCTTTCTGCAATTCAAAAGCCCGTCTGGAATCTGCTATTTTGGTATCTGCCATGAACTTGACATCCAGCATTTCTTTCTTGCACTGTGCCTCCTGCAGAGAGCAAACAGAGAGCAGAGCTCCAGGGTGTGCAGCTGCAGAAAACCAGGCTGGATCTGGGGAAGCCCAGCCGGTCTCCGGACTCACCCGAATGCCGGCATCTCGCTCGGCTTCTGCCACGCCGATGTCTGCATCCCTCCGGACAGCTGCAGTCTGAGTCTTTCCCAGGGAGCTCAAGTAATCCACTTTATCATAGACATCCTGGAGAAGGGAAGAAAAGTCACAACCACTTCAAATGGGTGACTCTATCTGGGTCCCTTCCTGC